ACGGGCGGCTCCTTTGCAATTAGCTTGAAAGGGAAACGACTTTCTCCTTTAATGCAACCCGGCCGCCGGGCTTCCATGGCCCTGGAGCAGCTCCCGGAAACCAGCTGCCACTCGCCCTCTGGGTAATGTGAGCACCAGGAATTTGCACCCGATGCTTTCATTTTGGGACTTCCAGCCTCTGGGTGGGTTTTTGGCCCTGTCCCCTCCCCAGGTACCAGCTTGGGATCGCTGGGTGCTGTGGAGGTGGAAAGCAGTGAATATACACAAGGTATTTTAGCACCAGGGGATATTTTAGAGAAGCCACAGCAGCGCTGCAGGCAGCAGAGCCCTGCCTGGGTGCGGGGCTGAGCCTCCCTGGGCAGCCAGAGGTGCTCATTTCCCAGCTGGGGGGGAGGATGCTCATCCCAGCTACCTCCAGAGCTCAAGTCTAGAGCTGACTCCAGCGCTGAACTCGAGTTTTCCCTGAATTAAAGACCTTTAAGCCCAGAGACGAGGTGGTTTCTGATCCCTTCAGATGATGCCGTCCACAGAGACGCTGGTGTTCATGTGAAGGAAAATGAAACAGCCTTGGCTGAGCTGTGTCCTTCATCCCAGGACAAACACAAGCCAGCACATCCCTGAAGGCATCTCCTTCAAAGAGGCATCTGCTGTGCTCGGAGCTCAAGCTACTTCCTCGGCCCCGTGTCCAAATGCATCTCGCACGTGTGATTTTAGCAGCCAGAAATGAACACAGGGACCTGGAGCCCAGGTCTCATTTCATGTCCCCGTTTTGCATGTGAGGGGTCACTGGAGCATCCCCAGCATCAAAGCAGATCCACTTTGGAGCCATCCATCACCTGGGCAGAGCTGGAAACAGCCGCTCCCCCCGGCTCTTGGCCCTCCCGGCCCTGCGCTGGGGCTACGCCAAGCAGCCAAAGCCCTCGGCTCCTCTGCAAGGCCTCAGAGGGATCCAGCCCCCGGCTCTCCCATGGGCTCAGGAGAACAGCTAACAGCTCTGCAAGCATTCTCCTCGGTTCCCAAAACATTTGGGGGTGACTTTTATAAACCAGAATAAACTCACTTCTCACTTATCTCTCACAGCTGAGAGATCCCTGCCGGGGATGAAACTATGCCC